GGCCCAGGTGCTCGTGATCAAGACAATCAGCTGATGACCTCGGGGAAAAGACAACACATCATGTCACCAATTACGTCATTAACATAGCATGAACTAAACCAACCCATGCAGCCAAGCAAGGGCCGTCACAGAATGTAGTTTATTATCGAATACAAACCACCTTGGTGCACTACACTGATTATGCAGCTGCGTAGCATGTCGCACTCAACAAGCGCCTGAATCCCCAAGATGGCGTTGAAATAAGACCGGTGATCGCCCTATTTGCAAGATGGTTATCACCTGACTATCGCATCTGGTGGATAGTGGTGCTCGCTGCTCACAACAGTATTGGAATATCAGCTGTTCCCCATTGTAACACAGTAGCGAGCCTTCTGGGGGGTAAGTAACTGTAATATTATTACTTAAATTTGATTAATAACTCGCCACAACCCTTGTTACTGGGAAAAGTAATATTATACTTATTATTACTGTAACATGTTACTGCCCAAAACTGCCCTTAGGTAACATCATCAGGAATCACTCTGTAAATTTCCATTGTTATGCGGATGATACACAATTGTATTTATCGACAAAGCCAGAAGAAACTAATCAATTAACTAAACTTCATAATTGCCTTAAAGACATAAAAACCTGGATGACTTCTAATTTCTTGATGTTAAATTCAGACAAAACTGAAGTTATTGTTCTTGGCCTCAGAGACTCTTTATCTGATGACATAGTTTCTCTAGATGCCATTGCTCTGGTCTCTAGCACCACTGTAAGAAACCTCGGAGAAATATTTGATCACGATTTGTCTTTTAATTCTCATTAAAAGCTATAGTCTACGTTTAGAAAGACGATGAGAAAGATTTGAAAAAAAGCATCCCCTGACCCGAAAAGATGCAGAAAAATTGGTCCACGCTTTTGTTACCTCTAGGCTGGATTACTGTAACTCTCTATTATCAGGTAGCTCTAGTAAGTCTTTAAAAACTCTCCAGCTAATTCAGAATGCAGCGGCACTATAAGCTCAGTGTAAACAAAATCTTTAGAAATTGTTAACTAATCACCGACTCACAGCACAAAGAGAAGAGACGTAAGATGTGCCATCGCTGTCATGGAATTTTTGATGACTGCCCTCCTGGTGCAACCAAGTTGGCTTTTTAAGTCAGTTCACACTGTCCTGAGAACGCACAAAAGTTCCAGGGAAGAAGCCAAGTCAGTAACATGCATTAATGGGACATGAATGTGTACAAACAGAGAGAGAAGGTCAGTGTATCATGGGACATCCCCAGGCATACTAGGCCAAAGTCCATCTAACTACCAAATAGTCCAAGGCAAGTCTGAGCAAGCCCTAACTACAAGCTTTATCAAAGATATTTAACTGTTCTGCCAGTACGCCTCAATTAGGTGGAGTTATGTTGCTACCCCCTCTCCCCTTGGATCTCCGCACATGTTGTGAGGACTGAAAACTTCACCTGAGCCTCCATCGGCATATGGGTGAGTAGATAATGGGTGAATTTTAATTTTTGGGTGCACTTTCCCTTAAAGCGTATTCTCAAATGTGGAGACGGTGTCTGCCTCCTGGACTGAAACTGGATAACAACAGTAATGGTCAACAACCTCAGCCATAATTTTTACCTCCCCAATGAATTAGGCAAATACTGTGTTTCAAAATGTATTTAGTCACATTGGTTTTNAAGTACGATGGCAACATTTATAGCATGGTCTGGATGAATACTCGACTCTGGTTGCAGGGTGCTGCAGGGTGTCCATTAAAACCTGATATAGGACACCTACTAAGTAGCTCTGTTGAAACTGTCAGTTTGTGACTTCCAGTTTGGCAAGCTAGAAGATGGCAGCATAGGAGAACGAGCTCTCGATGTTTGAGTTAAAAACAGCCCATGGCAACTCGAATTTGTGAAAAAAAAATTGCAACAGCAAGAAATAAGACTGAGGGCTTCAAGATGCCAAGAGGAAAAATCAGTAAGAAATCTAACATTATACATTCAGCTACGAGTTACACGAGGGAGACGGAGTAGACCAGACTTCACCTGCTAGCAGCTCCATGGAGGATAACGACATGCTAACAGACGAAGGGGAACAAGCTAGCAACGCGAGCCTGGACCTTATACTTAAAGAACTAAGAGAATTCAGGAAAGTCAATGATGCGCAGCTGAAGAGAATTAGAGTGGAAATAAATAAAACAAACAAGAGAGTGGAAAAGGCAGAAGAAAGGATCATGGAAGCTGAAACTCAAATACTGGCTAATGAGGAAGCAGTAACAGAGATGCTCAAAATGCATACTGAAATTGAGACCAGGCTGACGGACCTGGAGGGACGGTCCATAAGAGAAAATATCAGAATACATGGTGTCAAAGAGGGATCGGAAGATAACGCTACATCGATGGTTGCTTTTGTGGAACGTTTATGAAGGGATAAACTCAAGCTGCCCAACTCCGCTGAGCTATGAGTTGAGAGAGCGCACCGCGCTCTGGTGTCAAGGCGGCACCACAATCCATCGTTGCCAAAATGGTCAGCTACAGAAGGAAAGAAGAAATATTAAAACTAACCTGACAGAAACGTAGGTTTGAGTACCTGGGAAACAGGATTAACCTGGATCATGACTATGCACCTGTGGTTCTGAAGCAGCGGAGAGAATATGCAGAGGTGAAATCCGGTTCCAAACCCCATTCCCAGCAAAGATGACAGTCTTTTATCAGGAGGGAACTGTGTTATATGACTCGGTGGAGGAGGCGACTGACAACATGGCAAAGAGGGGATTCCCGGGAACGGTCATCAAATGCCCGGAGAATTTATTGGAGCAGATCCGAAGTTTAACATGGCGAACAGAGAGAAAAACGAGGGAACAGGTGAATAAGGATTGGACCGGGGACTACAAGGAAAGACTCTGAGCGCTCAGGCACCAAGAGCAGGAATGACTATAGGACACTGAGAGACTGAAACGTGAAGGGGACAGGTGATTTCATTTTATTTATTTTTGTTTTATTTATTTATTTATTTATTTATTATACACTATTATTATTACTATTTTAATTGTATCCATCTATATGTATTTATTTGATTTTATTTATTTATATTTATTTTATTTTTTTAATTTTATTTATTTAATGTTTTTTTTTAAAAAATGATTTTGTTTTTTAATATTATTTTTATTTCTATTTAAAAAA